AGTTCTATTCAAAAAGCCCTTGTGTAGTGATCCCTGTTGTTAATACATTGCCAGCTCATTTCTCATATTATAGCGTCATCATGTTTCGGGCGATTCAGAAGTTCAGTACAAGACTTGAATATGTGCGATCACTAGTGTCCCCAAAGTTGCAGACAGTACAGGTTGATTGTACCTTTAATTTAACTGTTTTAACTATTTTTCTCTTAACTTTTTATTTATTTATTTATTTATTTTTGCTTGGACAGACTTTCAGAGTCTTACTGATCCTGTTCCCATTTGTAAATTTGGACTAGATCTCAAGGATCCTTCCTAACACTCAATTCTAGGATAAATAAATCATTTAAAGTTTTAAAATATATATGACTTGTGAGAGTTTCAAGTTGATATTAAAAAGCAAGATGTTCTTTCCTCATCAGCTACACCTTTTCTTGTAAACACTTTTATGTCTGAGATCCTGTTGCCAAACCACAGAGGGGATGGAGAGAATTGCATCGGCTGTGGTCAGGGCAGCAAGTCAAAGGAGACCCAGGGTCAGCCCGCCAGCACCTGGGAGAGGGAGTTGAGTCCGTCATCATTTAACCTGCCAAATGTGGCTGGACGTGAGGGGTTCAACAATCAATTGTCACATGTTCATTTCTTCACATGTACTGATTTCAAAAAGTATTTTGAATCGGTCATGCTACTTGAGCAGTAGAGTTTTACATTTTGCTTTAAAATGTTGGTTACCTTTTTTATGTGATCCAATAAATTTTAATCATTAATAATGTCTTTCAGAATTTGCCCACTCTTCTGTTATAACGAGTTCTGATGGCTGGGAATAAAGGAAGAGGACGTGCTGCTTATACCTTTAATATTGAGGCGGTTGGATTTAGCAAAGGTGAAAAGTTACCTGATGTAGTATTGAAACCACCCCCACTATTTCCTGTAAGTGCATTATAGCTGATTCTCACAGTGTGTTTCTTCATGTTTCAGAGAAAATTAAAATTCTATGTAGGACTTGAACATGTAGTATTATGATATGCTCAATAAAAGAAAATAAAAGTGTGTTTCACTGATCTTTAATTTAAATATTTGCATTTTTCTTCCCTGAACTTTTTCTTATTTTCGGACTGTTTTCTTAAAATACAGAACACAAAACTCTATGCGCCTTTCCATGAATATACTCAGTACTATGTGAACCAAAGAAGAATTATTTTCAATTCTTGCCTCTGCTATTACTGTTATTGATATATTTCAATATCAAAGTAATATTTTTAAAAGTCAAGTTAGGTTTTACAGTGGTTCTCAGATCCCACTCTATCAGTCATATTTTCATTTGATTTTTCTTCTCATCTTGTATATTTAGAATTTAATTTTCTTCCTTAGTATACCAATTGGCCTTTTTTCCCATTGAACTTTTTTTTTTGCATATTTCCTTATTTTATTAAGATCATTTTGAATTTTGTTATTGTTTCTCAAACTATAATCATTTCTACTACATTTAGTATTGCTTTTGAATTTAGTAAGTGTGCT